CAGCCAACCTATGGCAACCCCATATGGTTTTCAAGGCAAGAGATGCCTAGACTTCTTTGGTGGTCTCCCATCGAAGTACGAATCAAGTACTAACCAAGATCAAACACTAGTCCTCCTCAAAATCTTGAGTGCAAATATTCAGAGAACCAAATATACCAGTAAAGCATTCCTTAGTGAGGCAGGCTTATATCCAACAGCTAGTCTGGATTCCTTGTGGTGAACAGGTAACCACGCAGGGAAGGTTTATACAAGTTGGTTTTCAATTATTCCACATAAATAACCAAATAATTACGTGAGCTTGTAACAATTCGAGAGCTTGTGTTCTACAGAACTGTGCAGGATCTACTGCAGTGGCTTCACATGGGAAGGAAGGCAGTACAAGACAGTATCTTCATCAGGCTTTAACTCCCTTTTCCCATCTTTATCCTACAAATGCGTACTGATAGTGCCCAACATGCAGGAAGAAAATGGGAGATACCATAATGAACGCATTGTGAGAACTGAGAAGAACTCTTTTTCTCTTTCCCCCCTCCAACAAATACAACGAAGTCACTGTTTGGAGCTGGACAAGAGGTTCTGCTTGCATGGATGGGGGTGATTTTGATAATATGTCAACCCTTCCTGACCTGGTAATGACATGAAACCATCATAAACTATCCCCCCCTTTTTTCTGTAGGGACCACTCTTAAGTGTTCCAGCACACTGCAGCTCAGCATTTAACTCAACCAACATTAGAAGAATCTGTAAGGAAGTGCTGAGCAGATACTTTTATCCAGGTACAGTGACTATACTATGAAAAAGGCCAATGAGCAGTGGTTTCTCCACATCAATACCTATGAACATCTCAAGCTGCCCAACAATTTCACACAGTTTAGTGTGCAATAAATAGCAGTACAAGATTTGTGTAGGGAGGCTCAAGGAGAAAAAAGGCAATAGAAGAAAGACTGAGAGTAATGAAATGAAGAAATCTTTTCAGCCCTGCATGTGGCCATACCTCCTCCTATATCCTAGTCTGCACAGGAAGCTGTTCACATGCTGAGGCATACAGGGATCACACATTCAAACTTCTCCATTATACAGAAAACCCATGACTAGAAAACAATTAAGCCATTAATGCTTTGTTAGATATCAGACAAGTCCATTTATAAGAACTGCCGAATATACTACTTGGAAAAAAACCTGGGAATTTAATTTTCTTTAAAACTTTCATTTTGGACCTCAGCATCCTAATATTAAAATAAACTGTTATTCTATTTTATTCTCTATTTTGAAGACAGATTTTGACACTAGACAGTACCTTTAGTAGTTAGTAGTCACTCACAAAATGCTTTCAAGGACATATTTTTCCCCATAACGCAAGCCATTCTCTGCAATAAATGTTTTTGGGGAGGGGACAAATTTTTCCTTTTTATTCGTTTTAATTTCAAGTAAATTTGAGTCCAGTGGTACCTTTAAGATGAACAAAGTTTTATTCAAGGTATAAGCTTTCGTGTGCAAGCACACTATCTGAAAAAGTGTACTGGCATACGAAAGCTTATACCTTGAATAAAATTTTGTTGGTCTTAAAGGTGCCACTGGACTCAAGCTTTGTTCTACTGCTTCAGACCAGCAAGGCTACCCACCTGAATCTCATTTCAAGTAAGTCTTTTGAATGGCATCTGATTATAAATGGAATCAATTTCTTTACTTGTTCAATAGCTGCTTTCAGACTGATGGGACTTTGATAGTTGTGACACAAAGCATGAAGGATTCTAAGATATAACATACCAATTACTCTAGGAAAGAAAGTTAACTACATCTATGAAGAACTCGAGCCATAATTTCTTCTGAGATAATATATTAACTTACATAAAACAACCTTTCAAGTAGGACACTGTTCTCAGAGCTGTAGAAAGCATAAGTTGCTATCCAGTCTGTAAATCTCATTTCTAAGCAGTGCTCTACAACATCCTTCAGTTTTGACAGATGCACACATTCCAAGAATAATAGAACACCACCACAGAGATTAGAAGAGTGGTGCATGTGGTGGTGAGCTTAACCTACATTCTCAATACAGCATTGGGCTTCATGAATGTCAAAGATACCTTAAAAAGCTTTTAGTTTCTAAAATGCTTCTATACCCAAGATATACTACACATCAAATAGGAAATCACTTCCAATTTTCAGTCTGTGACATGACTTCTAATCGCTGGCATCAAGAGGTTAAATATTGTCTGAATGGCATTTCAGGGATGAGATTCCAAGCAATCATTCACTTCTAATCCTGAAGACCTACTACATAGGCTAGAAAGCAATAGTTCAGTTTGTGTTATTTTTAAAGAGAGAGAGAGAGAGAGAAGACCATCTGAACAATTTCATTTGGCTAAGACTCTAATACAACCCCACACACAACAAGCCAAGTATTAGACAATGGCAGTAATGCAAGTAATAGCTTTTCAATGCTATTAATGCTAGGTAGCTCTATGTTGGTACCCAAGAAGTTAATTGGGCTAAATGAAGAAGTGGGGAGCTTCTTCTCCCAGCAGAGACACACTGCAGCAAAATGGGTCTGAATCCATGCATACATTAATTCTTCCTTCATCTGAGGAAGACTGCTTAGAAACAGTTTCCCTCTTGTTTAGGCCAGCAGCACTGGATTGCAGCTGGGGGGGGGGGGCAAGTGTATCATTAGAAAGCTTTCTACTGGTACTTGATGGTATGCAGACAACTAGAACAGCAATGCTTTCTTTATGCTGGAACAATGTAAAGCCAGCAAGGCCCAAAAGTTAGCATTACTTCAACCTTCTGCTTTCCATCTGCTATTCAGCTAACACGAACTAGGCCATTACAACCAAATTTAACACAATAGCCATAGCATACCACTCCACTTTCTCTTTTACAGTATTAGCTACTTGGGGAAAATCAATTATACCAGCATTAACACTCAAATCAAGTATCTGTGGTAATCCTTCCAGGAAAAGCACTCTGCACTCTACTGTACAAATTTTAATCAAGAAGAAACAAGTGTTCTAGATTCCTGTTACGGTTACAGAACTCACCAAAAGACAGCACAATAAAAAAAAAACAGCTACCCACTATAATAATTAGGCAAACCGACACCACTTTTCAGGTGCACTCAGATCTTCAAAAATCAGTGCTACCACAGATATCTCCAAGAAACTGCATTCACGACAGAAGATAGAGGAAAATATTCAGGAGAAAATATGGTAGAAAGAAAAAATATGGAACATTTCATGACATCAGCACCAGTTGATTCCATTCCAGGTTCTTTTCAGCGAAGAAAAGAATCATCCTGGTGATCAGCCTAGATTTTTGTTTTTTTCAACCCATATGATGCTTATAACACCTCTTAAATCAAGAGAACCCACCTCAAAGACCTGCCAATCAACATCTTTAGCACCAAGAGCTCTGACAGAAAGGAAATGAGAATGCTTTCTCCCCGTGGTTAAAGAAAAAGCCAATGATCACTGATCTTGGAGAACAGCTACATGAAATAAGATTGCAGAAGGGTTGCTCACATATGACTCCCCCCTCCCCCCCCCCCGGCCAACAGCATCCCTTTCTCCAAGGCATTTCACTTCTCTTCTAGGATGATGACATGGATGTCTAGAATGTCATTACTGAAGCAATGAAGTCAGTGTGATCTAGTTCATCTCAGAAAGGTGGGTTTAAAACTCAATGCAGCTGTAAACGCACTGGATGCCCTCAAGCTAACGGCTCTCTCAGCCTCAGTTCCCAACCTGAAAAATCAGGATGATGATACAATACATCACAGAAAGAAATAAGAGTTGCAAAAGACTTTGTACCTTGAAAGTATTGTAACTAGTAGTTGCTGTTTGTGTCACCCCTAGCTACGAATGGCATGAGCCAGGAAAGGGTGGAGCCTCTAGATGCAAAAGTGTGCAGACTGTGTGGAAAGCAGAGGAGGGAAGGAAGACTGCCCTTAATCATAGGCTCTTAACACCTTCTTTAAGGAAGCTATGATTTGTGTATGGAAACTGTTAAGAGAGGAAGACTACTGTTCTCAACTGTACATTTTAGAAATATTGTTTCAGAGCTGCATTATCTAATGGGGAGTTCATTTGGGGTCCTCATCTCGGAAGCCGGTGCACAGAGTGTTCAGCTGGAGACTTCCTGGGCCACCAGCAAGAAGAAAGAGATGGACTTTGGGGGTGGCAAGCTGTGAAGGAGGGAAAAGTTAATTGTTTGGACTTTAAAAGATCACTGTTCTATTGTATTACTAAGTTCGATGGTTTTGTTACATGATATGATGTTAAGTGAAAAGTAAAAATGTTTTATTCTCTTTGAAGTATTGCAAGATTCATTCCAACTTCTGCCCCACAGAACCCACAAGCTGAGGTTACATTTGCTAAAGGGAAGAGCAAGAAACCACTGCTCTAGATGGTGAACAGCAGGAGAGCAGTTACTACTTCCAAGGATCAGAACACATCTGCATAGTGTGGCCAAGGGAACCAGCTCCCTTCCTGACTGAGAGGATATTACTGTTCATTCTTCAGGGCTGGGTGAGAAAATGCTATGGAAGGAACCTCGCCTTTAGAACGAGGAACCTGATCCAATAAGGCTTCAGGTGCCATAAACCTTTTTTATACCGTATAGAAGGATGCAAAAGTTCCAACGCGTTTGGCAGTGGAAGCCAAACGAGAGGTGGGGAAGAAGAAAAGGAAGCTCAGGCCTTGTGCGAAGAAAAGCGGGGGAGGGGGAACTGAGATGGTCCCCGGTGGTTGGAGAAGTCTCTAAGGGATGGGGGGGAACAGTCCCCTAGGTAAAACGCAAAGGGGCTTCCCATCAATTACTAGCGGAATAAGGAGGAGGAGGCGACTCAGGAACAAGCTAGAGGAACGCCAGAAAGCAGAGCCGCCACCCCACCAGGAACTGATGGTTCCTCACCCCATTTGGCGCGGAGAAACCAGGCCGCTAAGCCGGTGCAAAGGGGTGTCCTGCGGTGCTGTCCTGACTGCCGGGAGCCGCCCTCCCCCTACCTGCACGGCCGGCACTGCCATCTCGGCTCCTTCTCCTCAGGGAGGCGGGGGTCCTGAGCCTCCAGGCCCGGCCTCGGTGGCCACCGCCTCCCTCTCCGTCAGCATATACGGTAGGGCGGAGACACCCACGCCGGGAGCCGCAGCTGCCATGGATCTGCTGCAGGTGGCGATGGAGGAGGAGGAGCCGGAGCCGCCGTCACATCCCTCCTCCCGCAGCAGCCACGACCGATCGAGAGAAAGACTAACGGGCAGCGAGTCCCACCCCCTTCTCTACACCCTCTTCCCTGACTGGCCAATAACTCACCGCTATTCTGCAACCCCAACCCGCCTACCTAAGCACATTCTCCAATCACAGTCTTCAAGGAACTGGATCCCTCGTCCTTCCTTCACCAGCAGCAGCCACCTCCGCGAGCCCAGAGAGATCAGAGGGAAGCGAATTGTGACCACAAAACCCGCGAGAGAGGAAGGAAGCGGGGAAGGGGGTGGGTGGGACTAGTAAGCCTGTGCGTCTCCTTTTCACCAATAGGCCACAGAAAATAAATAAAGGACAGGCGTTTCGAGAGCTAAATGCGGCGAAGGGGGCATTCCCATTTGCCCCTGGGGCCAATGCGAAGTGCCAGAGAACTGCGGTTTTAGCCGGGTTGGCGATACAATAACTGGAGAGTAAAGAATGAGCCTACAGCTTGCTTTTTTTTTTTAGCTGGGGATCATTAATTTGATGATGTGGGCATACTTTGTAGCACCAGGCAATTACAGGAATGTGTCTGAATGACAAAAGCGTGCTGTCAGTGAGGTTTAATCACGCCAGCTCTCTTTTATTCCTTCATACAAGCAACACCGAAGCAGCTTTAAAAGGGAGGGAGAATATTTTTCCATTCCAATGCAGTAAAGGAATACGCGTTATGGCAATCGTATGTGTAAGCAACAACACATAAGCTGCTGATTGCCGAACAGGCGTATTCTAATATTGCAGCACAGATCGATCTTAGTGTTATATTCTAGATAATGGAAAGAAAGGAACGTAAGTGCCTTGCGCAGCCATACTGGAGCAGCCCAATGATATCAGTCCATCAGTTCAGCATCATGTTTCACTTTGGCCAAAGATGCTGCCAGAAGGCCTGCAAACAGGGTAAGGAGGTCAAGACCTCCATCTGTTGTTGTCCCCCACATCAGATCAATAATCTATTAAATCCAGCTCCCTGTTTCCCTAGGAGAAGCCCACAGCAGGGGAATGTACTAAAACTAACGACAAGAATGCCCACTGAGAACAATGGGAGATGCCTAAAGGCCCATTGGATATCCTGAGAGCCAGAAATGCCAAGTGACTTCCGTAGGCTCCAGTGAAATATACTACAGTGCAAAAAAAAATTGCAAAGAAAATGCAAAACGGATTTAGAGAAACCTGTTCTGGGATTGGAATGACAGATCCCAGAGTGGAACAAGAATCTCTGGGGGTTGCGTAAGCATTCTGAAACTGAAATGAAAGACCCCAGAGTGGAATGGCAGTTCCTGGGACTTGAATCAGAGTTCTGGAACTATGTGGAACAGTGTTCCAGTATCGCAAGCTCTGGGATCAATTCATTATGGAAAGTATCACAGACAAACTAAATAATCTATTCAGTAACCCCATGGTGTCTGGCTTTAACGCAAAGTGGTTTCCGATTCTGGAATACTTAACCTCAAACGATTTTATTTCTCCTCTATGGAAGGACTTTATATATTGGTTCTAAATTTTTTTACTGTGAACTGAGTGTATTTACATCATTTGTCACATGCTTACTCTCTCACATGTTCAAAGGTTATTCTGTCTAATTATTGGATAGTTCTTGTTTACCATCTTTATATTGTGTATCAACTAATTCTCTGTCCACTTATGTACCACAGTGGAGTTTCTCCACTTGTTAATGTTCACATGGGAAAATTGTCTGTTTTTTATATGCTTGATGCTTGTATTTCCAAATAAAATTGTTATTCAAAAAACAAACAAACAGTGTTCCCTCTAAGCTGAGTTGTTGTGAGCTAGCTCACAGTTTTTTAGTCTCCAGCTTACACATTTTTGTCTTAGCTTAGAGAGGATGGCTCCAGAGCAAACTAATTTATGTAGTAGTCAAAGGGCTCGCTCACAACTTTAATGCCAGTAGCTCACAAAGTAGAATTTTTGCTCACAGGACTCCATAGCTTTGAGGGAGCATTGATGTGGAGTTCTGGAGACCTCACTTCAAAAAGGAGGTAAACAGAATGGACTGGGTGCTGAAGAAAGTGATGAGGATGATCAGGGGTATGAAGACCAAGCCCTACAAGGAAACGCTAAGGGACTTGGGAATGTTCAGTCTCAAGAAGAGGAGTTGGGGGGGGGGAGACATGATTTCTCTCTTTAAGTATTTGAAAGGCTGTCAGAGAAGGGCAGGGAGTTGTTCCTGTTGGCAGCAGAGGATAGCCTAGGAAGGTGGTGAGCTCCCCCTCACTGGCAGTCTTTGAGCAGCAGCTGGATGAACAGGGATGCTTTAGGCTGATCCTGCACTGAGCTGGGAGTTGGACTATAGCCCATTCCAACTCTGTGATCTATGAATGGAATGATAGGCCCCAGCATGGGATCCCTGGGACTGGAATCAGTGCTCTGGGAATGGAACGGCAGCCCCCAGAGTGGATTAAAATCCCCTCCCAATAGAAGAATACATTGTATGTGCAACTGCAGACAAGAGCAGGAGCTGACGCACCCAGACACAGTCCTCCACTGACACTACTGGCTTTCCTCTGGAGGCCAACAGGTAGGGAGAAGGAGCAGAAGCCATCTCCACCTGACCAGGATAGCAGCACTGCAGGTGGGAAAGAGCAGAAACTGCTTCCCCTTTCTCCTGTTGCTTCAGCCAGGCAGCCCCACCTCTGAGGAAGCAGCATGGTGATTGGCTGGTGAAAGGAACCAGAAGCTGCCATGGCACCCATCACCGTCAAGCAGTGGAGAGGAGGGCAGGCAGGTAGGTGGGGAGGAATGGGAGCTGCCAGTGCCACCCTCCACTGCCACCCTGTAAGCTATGGAGGGGTGTGTAAAAAAAATGGTTCCCTAACATTTCTTGTCTTGTGTTAAAAGTTTGGTTCAGGCTGAAGGCCTGCTTCTGAGTTACCAGAGTTCAGAAAAACATTGCTGAAACAGAGCAAGCTGACATTTTGTGAAACTGCAGATGACTTTCAGCTGCAGAAGGGAGTCAAGAGCTTGGTACTGGCTCCCCAATTAACTACATTCCATCTAATTAAGCACCTGTGGGAAAGGGGCAGATTGGTTTCAGTTCCTTCCTCTCAGGTTAGGCCACTGCTTAGGTCATCAGTTTAGCCACTGGCCTAACAGATTGGCTATATGGCTATATGGCATTACCTAGGAGCCCCATTGGTCTTTCAGACCTGAGACCATGAAGGCCCATAAAGAAGTAGAACTCTAGTTTATTCACAGCCAGATGGTGACTACCTAAGATCTAGATATGCACTCACTATCCGGTTCAAGGCAGCCATTTTGAACATTTGCTTGTGTGGGCCAAACAGCTTCTGGCCTTTGCTAACTCTGGAGAGAGGCACTTGGGACTATTGGAATATTCAACTGAGAATGGATAACAACCTATAACTTGGAACTGATGTATTACTGTTTTAGTTAGCTCTTAAATTTCTAGCTTTCTTGTTCTATCCTCACTTTTTCTTGTTCCTGTTTAAAGTATTCTTGCACCTTAATAAAATATTTTCATTACTTTTGTAGATATTTGTCTTCAACCAACCTTAGTCTAAATCCAGAGCTTTAACTGGCTGACCACCTACTACAGCCATTGCTTTTGTAAGAAACTCATTCTGCAATTCTACCTTGCAGGGCTGACTTTCTTATTTAGTCATGGGAAGGTTGAAAGCTTGCCCTTTGACTTCTGATTGTTGGGATAGTCTAAAGGGCTGGTGGTAGACTACCAGACTGGTGTGTGAGTAGTCACACCCCAGGGTTTTGTAAATTTGTGTTCTGCAGCTAGGGTTGCCAAGTCAAAATTTCGCCGGAGCGGGGGACTCCCGGAGGGCGGCTGGAGGGTGCGCGCGCCGCATGCACATCACCTGGAAGTGACGTGACGACTCCGGGCACGCTGGGGGTGGGGCCACAACCACCTGAGGGAAAACCATAGAGTTTTTCCTCGGATGACCGTGGCCCCGCCCCCAGCGTGCCCAGTGTCGTCACGTCACTTCCGGGTGACGCGCACGTCGGGGTGGGGTTCCCGCTGGGGCCCAATCCGCCACCGGCGGGGAACGGGCCTCTGTAGCAGGGGTTTCCCCGCCCCCCGGGTGGACTTGGCAAGCCTATCTGCAGCCCTTAAACAAAGAGTTTTGGCCGTGGACAGGACTGGGACTCTTTGACAGGGTGGCAATGCAGGTAGGCAGGGGAGGAAGGAGCAGCTAGTGCCATCCCCTGGGAGCTGATAAGCAGGTGGGTGAGCTGGGAGGGCAAGTGGAGGAAGGACGAGATTTCCCCTGCTGCAAGTTTTGAGGTCCCGATGTGTCAATATATCTGATTCCCTAATATGGACCCAAAACAGCTTATTTCATTCTCCTCTCCTCCATTTTATCTTCACAACAACCCTGTGAGGTAGGTCAGGCTGAGAGTATATAACTGGCCCAAGGTCACCCAGCAAACTTCCATTGAAGAGGTGGGATTTGAACCTGGGTCTCCAAGATCCTAGTCTGAAACTCTAACCACTGCACAACACTGGTTTTTGTGGAGTGGTTGAACAATAGCAAGCAGCTGGGCATGAGTGATTCATGTAGGTTAACCCAGAGTTACTGCCCAGCCTGCCCTGATGAATCCTCCCTCAAAGGCCAAAACAACCCTGGAAAGGGCTTCCTTTTTCTGACAGAAATCAATGCTTCATCTGGCAGTGCTATTGTGGCTGCCTAGCAATGGCATTAGATTCTTAAAGCTACATGCACTATTTCTATTTTGGAGGACTTAGATGTCCAGTGTTTTGGTTTTCTTAGATTTCATATTTTTCTGCATATCTGGAGTTTTTCTCAGGGTTATAGAAAGACTTGTTTCATCATGGCTCCAGTTTCTAGATTTAAGTATCCACCAAATTGGCCATGTTGAGAATTTGATTGATAGATTAAACCAGTTTTGTTCAACAGTTAGTATTGTATGGGTAAATTTTCATTTATGAATCCTAGTAATTGTCGAGGTGAATGGTTGGTAAGAGAGGAT